CCTGTCAAAATATCTTTCCATTTTACCATTCCTTTTGTTAGACCTTGAGACTTGTTATGCCTGTCTGCCGCAGACAGGCCTTGAGCATCCAAATTTAAAAAAAATTATAGTGAATAAAGCAAGAGAAAGCCTTTCCTTAGGGGTACGGCCATGGCCACACTCCCGTAATCCTAGTTACTTAGGAGGCTGAGATATGTGGATCTGGTTTGAAGCCAGCCTGGAAAGAAAAGGCTGTGAGACTCATCTCCAATTAAGTACAAAGAAGCTGAAAGTAGTACTGTGGCTTTGGTGGTAGACTAGACTTGAATGGAAAAAGCTCCGGGACAGTGCCCAGACTCTGAGTGCAAAGCCCTAGTACACACACACACACACACACAAGGAAGGAAGGAAGGAAGGAAGGAGGAAGGGAAGAGAAGAGAGGAAGGAAGAAAGGAAAGAAAGAAGAAAGGAAGGAAGGGAAGGAGAAAAAAGAGAAGCATGTTAGATTGATAGGAATATATTGTAAACACATGTGGAAATATAAAAGTGAAATCCTCTGTGTAACTAATATTAGCTAATAAAAATACATAATCAAAAATTAACTTTTTCCATATTTAGCTTGTCTTCATTATGTTTTTGGAAGAATATAAGTTTAAAGTGTTAGCTACAAGCAGGTTCAATGAGTAGTCACTAGCTTGGAAAGCAGTATTAGCTTTTATTCCAGATGGAACTGAACAGATCTGGTCTTTTTTACCTGTCCATCTGGCTTTGATTTGTTATATCAAATTAGTTTAGCACAGAGAAAAAAGTACAGTCATTTTTAAATATAATTCATGTATGGTACAAAAATTATAGTTCACTTGCCAATTAAATATCCATTAAAAGCATAAGATGAAAGCTATCTACACTCTAAAAACTTAATAGGAATATCCATCCTACATAGAAATACATTTAAAAGATTTATTTAAAATAATAAAATGAAAAACATTGAAGAGGGAAAGGAGAGTGAAGGAGAATGTAATTGATGTACTTTATATGCATGTATGAATATAGAACCTGGTAAAATTAGCTTAAAAAGAGGAAGAATAAGAATGAGACAGAGGGGGGGCAAATTCGATCAAAGTACATTATATGCATTATATATAATGAAATATAACATTCCTTGGCAAAATTAGTATATGCTAACTATTCAAGTACTTTCATGTGTCTAGCTTAAAGCTATAATGCTTTTAATCAGCATTTTGCTTTTTGTTAGAAATAGTACATAATGCTTTTTTCTACTGTGATCCTGAGGAAATCGTGTTTTCTGTAAAATGGCTCTCTTCCTCCACACAGCTATTCTAATGTAATACTGGACACAGACCCTCTTGACAAACAGTAATTTACAGTACTACTGGTTGTTTACATTCTTGCTATCTCTGTTAAAACTCCAGATATCAAAACAAACTAATGGAGGGTGGTGTTTTGTTTTCTGTTGTTTTTATTCAGCTGGGATTTAAAGCCTTACATTCCCAAGTACCAATTACAATTTAATCATCAGAGCTTGTGCTGCTAAATGCTTTTCTGAGGCAAATTCATGCTTCACGCCTAGGTTACAGTTTAGTCTACAGATCTTGAGAAAGCAGTTCATTTTTTATCACCAGATATTAGAAAATATTTCTGTAGTTGAATAATTGTGGAAACAGGTGTTAAAAGGCCACGCTATTTCAAATTCCATGTCTAGTTCTCATTACATAACTCTCGATCCAAGGAGGATTCAAATTGTTTCAGAATTCCTTATTAACTATACATTACCCATCACATTTGGTTTTTCCTCTTCCATTTATTTGAGTTGCTTTTGGTAACTTGCAAGCTAGTAAGTGAATTTAAGGGAGGAAGAGGCCAAGCTTGCTGAGGGCCCTGGCTTTCCAGTGGTAGTAGTCAACCTGGTACCCAGAGAGTTGGAGAAGAATCTAGGCTCCCCAGAAGAATCTAGCCTCCCACTCTGAAAAGAGGAGGCCGCCGCATGGATGAGGTTTCTTCCCAGAGACCCTCTAGCAACCCCAGATGAAATGACCAAGGAGCAATCCCTTCCTTGGGTGGAGCAGGGAGCAGATATTTCCACCCCACAGCCCCTCTCCCTTGTCTGGTGCCAGCACCCACTGGGGGCAGGTGATTTCTGTTTGGCCTCAAAGTCCATTGCTGGGCACCTGGGAGCTCTTGGTGGTGGGAGGGGGGTGCAGGGTGGGGTGGGGGACTGGTAACTGGGCCATGATGGACGTGCGCAATAACCGTCTGCCATCTCCCGCCCCCCCCCCGTAAGATAAGCCATGCTGGAGGGGCTGTTATGGCAAAGAACTTGATGGCCCTGTGGCCGCCTTGGCCCCCAGGTGCGCAGCGACGGGAGGGGCACGGAACGACCCCCCCAGCTCCTCCCCCTCCCCGCACCTCCCACCCGCTCCCCGCGCCACACTTACGGGACGCGCGGTGGGATGTCCTGCACGGATCTGAAGCGCCCGGTCCACAGCAGGATTTTCTTGTCGAACTGCGAAGGCTTGAGCTGCGCGGGGACCCCGTGGAGCTTCTCTGCCGGGACGGGGCGAGGGCACAGGCGCCGGGGATGGGCGAGGGGACAGGCGGATCCAACCTGCCCCCCCCCCGCGCGCCCCAGGCTCCCGGGCCCCCTCCCCAGCCTTTCTCCCCAGCAGTGCCACGTCTCCCCGGCCGTTCTCCCCGACGCTGGCTCACCTTGACCTCGAGGGGTCCCGCCGCTGGCAGAACGGGGTAGGCTCTGGGGCCAAGGAACCCAGACCCGGGACCCCAAGCCGAGGCGCAGGAAGCCTCCCAAAGCTGGGAGCATGCTGCCTTTCCCGCACCCCACACCCCGCACCTGCCCCCGCGCGCAGCGTTCTCCCCGCAGCCCCGCACACCCCTCTCTCAGCCGGGGTGGGGGTGGGGGAGCCGCGGGAGCCCCAAGGGGCCCACACTCCGCCCCCTGTCCCCGCCCCGGCCGCGGCCCCAGGCCCCAGCCCCCACGGCTGAGAACTGCCCTGTGCCCAGGCTCTCCGCAGGGGGGCAAGGGGGGGACGGCTGCTGCGGCTCCTTTTAAGCCTATTTCATTAGTCAGTCTTGGTCCCATTGTTTGTGCCCAAGAGAATAACCGTAACCCCCTCCCCCTCCCCACCCTTGATCCACATCAACTATCCACCCAAGATGGGTTAGGGGTACTCAGCCAGCTTTCTGATCTAAAGTTAGCACTTCACCGCACCCCAAACTCTACACCCTTTTTCTTTCCTAGGCAAAATGCCTCTCCTCTGACTCTCTGTCTCTGTCTCTCTGTCTCTGTCTCTCTGTCTCTGTGTCTCTCTGTCTCTGTCACTGTCTCTCTGTGTCTGTCTCTGTCTGTGTCTCTCTGTCTCTGTCTGTGTCTCTCTGTCTCTGTCACTGTCTCTCTCTGTCACTGTCTCTCTGTGTCTGTCTCTGTCTGTGTCTCTCTGTCTCTGTCTGTGTCTCTCTGTCTCTCTGTCACTGTCTCTCTGTCTCTCTGTCTCTCTCTCTGTCTCTGTCACTGTCTTTCTGTCTCTGTCTCTTTCTCTCTGCACACGCAATACCGTGGCTTGAACTCAGGACCTGGGTGCTGTCCCTCAGATTCTCACTCAAGGCTGCCACTCTACCACTTGAACCATAGTTCCACTTCCAGCTTTTTTTGGGGGGTCGGGGGAGACAGGTTAATTGGAAATACGAGTTTTATCATTTTCCTGCTAGGGTTGGTTTGAACCACTACCTTCAGATCTCGGCTTTGGGAGTAGCTAGGCTTATAGCCATCGGTGCAGCGGTTTCTATTTTTCAGTAAGCCACAAACTCTCTAAACTCCTTCAAAATACACTTTGCTTCTGTCAATTTCTACCTTGCTTTAGACATAAAGGGGAATAAAAATTCAGCTTCAAAGATGGGAGACAACCGGCTACCTGAAAAATTCTTTGTTGTATTGCACTAGCAGCAGGTCCTGGCCAGGCACATGTCCAGCTGGTACCAGCTCTCCTGCGGCCTTCCCTCGCTCACTCCCCTGAGGAGCTTTCCATGCCTCACAGCTCCTTTTTAGATTTCTTGTTGGATTTTCACATGTTCTTTTCCTAATCAGATTCTGAAAAACCGCCCCTTCTCTCTGACTCCTAGACTGGTGTCATTCCCATATGAATGTTTTGAAGAGGATGGATGAACAACCTTGTACACCCGGCCCCTGTAAAGAAATTGGCATTTAGAGGATGGGGTAACATTAGCAGGAACGTGGGCTTTGCCTTCACACACAACTATATCTCAGGTGTGTGACTTAAGAGTCACAGTCACAGACAAATCGTTTCTGTTATGTCTTGGTCTCATTTGTAGAACTGGATTTTCTCTCTTTCATCGGTTTATACAATGATGACCTCAAACCTACCAAGTCTAAGAGCTGGAGACAGAGCAGTAGTGGCCTGGGTCAAGTGGGATTAGTAGATAAAAATCAAGCAAGACAGGAAAGGAAGTCAACTGGTGCACATAACTATATCAAAAAATGTGGTTTCTTCCATTTGTATTTTTGAAACAGTCCCCAAATCCAAGAACATTTTAACCCAGGAAACCTTTTGTATGGAGAGGATTGTGAGCTCGCTGGAGGATTTGTGATTGTATTCAGGATATAGCAGAAAAAAAATCAGCACCTGGGAGATAATTAATAAGTATTTGTTGGCCAATCAATGGATGAAGGGAAGTCTTTTAACTTCTCGTCTCCACTGCCTATCATGCTGCCTAGCACACAGCAGTCTCCAAATAAATATTTACAGAACTGCACTGAATGGAATCCTGTTTGAGAAAGCCTGTTGAGATAAACAATATTCGAATTTTCCCACCATCATGCTACTTGAAAAGTCTTCCATGTGTGTGTGTGTGTGTGTGTGTGTGTGAATGCGTGTGTCACATGTGATCTAGTATTAGTGTTTCCACTCTTACTTAGCTCAAGTGTAGCATTCTACCAACTGAGCCACACCTCCACCCCCAGATCTTTGCTAGTTAATTGGAGAGAAGAGGCTCAGATTTGTCTGCCTGAGCTGGCTTCAAATCATGATTCTCAGATTTCAGCTTCCTGAGTTGCTAGGATTATAGGCCTGAGCCAGAGGCATCCAGTTTAGAATATGTTTCTCCCCCCTCCCCCTTCCCCCCTCCTCTTCCTCCTCCTCCTGTTGTTGGTCCTGTGGCTTGAATTCTCAGCCTGGGTGCTGTCCCTGAATCCTGCAGCTCAAGGCTACCACTCTACTTCTGGTTTTCTGGTGGTTAATTGGAGATAAGAGTCTCGTGGACTTTTCTTCCCCAGGCTGGCTTTGAACTGCTATCTTCAGATCTCAGCCTTCTGAGTAGCTAGGATTACAGGCATGAGCCACAGGTGCCTGGCTAGAACATGTTTTCTTTCTTTATTATTTTTAATTTTTTTTATTATCTTTAAGTGCTTGTACAAAGAAGTTCCCATTCTACAAAACAGTAATGAACACAAAGTGTCTGATAACATTGTCACCCATCGCTCCTAACAATGTTTTCTTAGACATAGTTTAAAATCACTGTAGGGGAATATCTTAAGATAACTCTCCTAGAAACTATCTCTCTAAAACTATTTCTGCTAGAAAGCCAATGTCTCATTAAGGAACATTAAACTAGCTAAGTTTATTTTTCTGGAACAGATCAAGTGTTTCACAGAACACCCAGACTTCCCTAGTTATTATATGCTTACTGGTGCAAGGCCAGTGAACAGGACTCTAGTCAATAGAGAAAGAACAATTCCATTCTATTCTCTTTCCCTAATGGGTTAAAAAAAAATCTCACCATTTGGTAATGGTCTAGATAAAACAAATTATTTACATTTTCACTTGCATAGAGCTTGAGGAGAAATCTTAGTCCAAGTTTTCTTTAGCTACAAAGCCATTTTTTGGTTAATCTACATATTTTTTATTTTTAAAATTTTTTATTTTATTTTTCAAAAATTTTATTGTGAAAATACTGTACAGAGGGGTTACAATTACATGGGCAAGATAATGAGTACATTGCTTATCAAGAACTGTTGCCTCCTCCTTTGTTTCCTCTTCCTTTCCCTTCCCATTCCCCTCCCCCCAAAAATTTATTTTATTTTGTTGTAAAGGTACTTTATACAGGGTTACAGTTACATAAGTGAAATAATGAGTACATTTCTTGTCAAACAAGCCAATATTGTCAAGTGATTTCTATGTGCTGGATACTGTTCTAGGCTGATAACCTGAGAAAAGTCTGTTTCTTTTATGTTTTTTCTTCTTTAAAAATATTTTTTATTGTTATTAAAAAGGTGATGTACAGATGGGTTACAGTTACATGAGTCAGGTGATAAGTACATTTCTTTTGAATAGTGTTACCTCTTCCCTCCTTTTCTCACAGTTTTCCCCTCTAACCCTCCCACAAGTTGTGTAGTTCATTTTCGACACAGAGTCTAGTGAGTATCTCAGCTGCATTTGTTCACCCTTTGTCCCACTATTTCTGTGTTTCTCTTTACTAACTCCCCCAAACAGATAAACTTACATACAAGACAAAATATACAGAAAAAAACAGTGATGAGAGAGAAAAAAAGCAAACTAACAATCGCTCTTGTTATGAATCCACTCTAGTTTCCCTGTGTATTTGGTTATTTTTCAGTCCAAGGGTTTAAATGTACTATTTTTAGTATTGTTCCTTCCAGACTTGTTTTTGACTCATGTAGTTTACATTTCCAATCCCTACACTATTGTACCCTAAAGATATACTGCTCTGAGTTCCCCCCTCTTTTTCTGACCTCTCCATAGGGAAAGTTTTAAACTGACAATGTACAATAGATCTGGTTTGCAGTGGTCTCTAGGACACAAACTTACCAAGTAGATATGCTGGGCAACTCAACCTGGCAATTTTTTTCAGGGTTGAAAATAAATAATTTTTTTAGTGGAGTTTTTTTTTTAGAGGAGTTAAAAATTGGCTATTTTGTTTATTTTTTCTCCCTCTCCTTCACCTGCAAATTGTTAACTAAGCATCTGCTTTTAGAAGCTTAGCATGATTAGATTTCCAAGAACTATGCAAAGAGGTTGTTCAATAATAAAATCTTAAAGTTCTAAAACACAGTGGTCTCCTTGAATACATAACTCATTATAAATTCTAAAAAGAATTTATGACACTACAGGATAAGAGGTATTGATGCAATAATAAAGTTGTGCTCAATTAGGTAAGAGGGAGATTTCCATTAGTGTTAGTCTTCTGTGACAACTGTTAGGAAGAATTTGAAACACCAATGGAAAATCCCCAAAGTTCCTTCCTAGGAAGCTAGCCCCAACAGTTTCAGTTCCTTATGAAGAAAAGTAAAAAACAGAATGCCCCACCAGGTGGCAGTATCTGCAAGTAGTTTTACAGTCTCAGATTAACTCACAATTTGTATCCAGCAGCCTACACATAATATGCATTTCTGAGGTCAAAATTCCTACCAGCAAAATTCCAAGTCAGAGACTGTGTTTCTTTTATTGTGACAACTACTGAAAAAAATTGATCTCCAATTTTTTTTCTATCTGATAGGGAAAAGATTTTTAAAAATATACAATAAAGAGAAGTCTTTCTCTCTTTCTCTCCACACACACACACACACACACACACACACACACACACACAAACACACACATATTGCTCTGACTTACTCTTCCATGTGTAATATAGAGTAATTCCTATTTCCAAAGTAGCAAATTTTGGTACTCCGGGCCTATCTGTTTCTTTGCCATGGGGAAAGCATTCTCTGGGCTCCACTATTTTCTCCTTTTTCATGGTTTAACTAGTTTGACCAGAGAAACTGGCTTATAAATTACAACAATCTTTTTACTTGAAGATTTATAAAATAGCTTAATGTCTCTTTCAAGCTTTAAGTAACATAGATCAAAGATAGGAGGAAAAAGTGTTCATATAGAATTCCAGAAATCCTTCCCTTTCCTGATATGACAGTGTATGAACTGGTGTGCTAGTAGCAAGTTGAATTTATTTTCATGTGGCCACTAGATGAATCAAGAGCTCTCAGCAGGACACTAATATGACTGATCTTAGTTTTCTCCTTAATACTTATTCACCTCACAAAATTGCTGTGAAAATAGTGACTGTGATGGGGATAGCAATAATATTTTGAATAGTGACTAATAACTTTCAAAGTATTCTAATACATGTGATCTGTTTTGAACTTTATTATAACATCGTATGGCATGCCAGAAAAGCAGTTTTGTCATAGATTTTCATGAAAAAGAAACCAAGACACTGACAAAGTTTGGAAACAATATAAAAAAAATTTCCTTTGTGAGGTTGGAAATGTAATAGGAAGGACAAGAAATACAAATGTTTCTGGGCAAGGAAATGTAGAAAATAGCCCTGTATATATAGTAATTTTCCTCCCTGTATGCCTAAGGATATTAACTAGATGGAAAAGATACTTTGATGACCAACCCGTCTTCCTCACATTTCCACACAAACTCTGTGTTTATAGTTACAGAGAAAAATATAACCACCAGAAAATAATACACCAGTATGTGCATGATTTATAAATGTATACACTATACATGTTGAGAAATCATGCAAAATCACTGCTTTTATATGGAAATTCAGCCTATTCAGGTTCACTGACAATAAAGTGTAATATCTTTCTTCTGTAGTCCTTGATTGGTCCACCACAGTACTGCGTTTCACCAATTGGCCTGGTAAAGAAAATGTACCATGATATAATCCACATGCAGAGGCAAGTCTTTTTATAAATTAATTGTTGTACCTACTGAAACAGGTGAAATTGCTCTTTATCTGCTGTTATACTAATTAAAGCCTTTTTAATGATTAATAGTACTTGATACAAATACTTACTATGAGTATAGAGATTAAAGGATGCGGTGGGATGCAGGGAAAAGGCCAAAATAACAGTAGCCAACTCAACTCTTTTACAGAAGAGGGATAGAATTTGCCTTGCACGGATGGAACCATCAACATTAGCAGCAGCAATTTCTTTCTTGGATCTGTCAGTAGGCACAAAGGGCAGAGGAGAGGAAAAAATAATTTCGGGGAAGATAAAGGGAGAAGTCTTAAAAATTTGTCATAACGTATTGGGAGGATAATGTGAGGAAACAGAGCTAGGAAAGTCAGCCAAAGCCATTTGCCAGGGCTGCGAGGATTTGTAGAGCTATTGAACCTGTAAGTTGGTATAAGGATAAATGATGAGATCAGCTCTTGTCTCAATAATGGGCCAAGTTTCTGTCATCCCTTTAAAATAATCACGCTAATTAAATGGTGATATAATTAAAGGTCTCAAGTTCCAGATGTAGGGAGTAGTAACCAATTTATTGGCCCTTGTGGTTGACAAATAAGCCCAGTGGGAGTATAATCTGTGGGCAAAATAAACAGGTTTATTAAAGTTAATAGGGCTACGTATGTCACTTTATTAATTAGTTGTAAAGCCTTTTGAGCATTAAGAGCCAGCTTCTGGGGGGAAGTAGTATCAGAAGGTCCCTGAAGAATATCAAATAAAGGTTTAAGGTCTCCAGTGGTTAATTTTAGACTAGGTCTAATCTAATTAATGTCTACCAATACTTTTTGAAAATAGTTTTATTTTTTGGTCATGAACTCTGGGCCTGGCCACTGTCCCTCAGCTCTTCAGTCCAGGGTGAGTGCTCTACCACTTGAGCCACATCACCATTTCCAGTTTTCTGGTAGTTAATTGGAGATAGGAGTCTCACAGACTTTCCTGCCCAGGCTGTCTTTGAACCACGATCCTTAGATCTCAGCCTCCTGAGTATCTAGGATTACAGGTGTGAACCACCGGCACCTGGTTAAGTTCAGGTTTTTAAATGATCAGTTTTCAGTACAGGCAATTAAGAGTGAATTGGTTTTCCAGTTATAATATGGCCTAAGAAATAAAAAAGAGACATAGTTCGACTTTTTTCATCAGCAATACGTAGTCATGCAAGAAAAAGATGTTGTTGGCAGACGCAGGCGGGCATGGAACTGTAGTTAGTGTTGGCTCCGCAGCGGTGTAGCATCTGTCCCAGATGGCAGAGGTGGAAGAGACACTGAGGCGACTTCAGAGCCAGAAGAGAGTGCAGGGCATCATCGTGGTGAATACAGAAGGCATCCTATCAAAGGCACCATGGACAATCCCACCACTACACAGCACGCCAACCTCATGCATAACTTCATCTTGAAGGCTCCGAGCACTGTGCGTGAAATTGACCCCCAAAATGACCTGACCTTCCTTCGAATTCGTTCCAAGAAAAATGAAATTATGGTTGCACCAGATAAGGACTATTTCCTGATTATGATTCAGAATCCAACAGAATAGCCACTCTTGGCTCCCCATGTCATTCCTTAATTTAATGCCCTCCAAGAATTATAATGTCAATCATGTCATCTGACCAGCCCATAAAGATGACCATAGATCCCTCGTGAAACAATAGAGATCGCTGTAGATTCCTCATGAGCCAATTCAATGACCAAGGGTGGGTTGGCAGCTCCCCTCTACCTTCACCAGATGGAGGGAGGAATTCTTCTCCCTTCCCCGCTCCAGTGACCCCAGAGTTCCCAGGAGGGCTCCTCCCCACCCCCTTCCTGGCTTTGGAGCCGCTGCTTAGGAGAAGCCCACACCCAGCTTCCTTCTGACCTTCAGTTCACAGTTGCTCTTGGAAAAGGTTGTTTTTCTTTAACTAAAAATAACCAAGCCACTTAAAAAAAAAGAAAGAAAAAGATGTTGTTGAACAATAAAAAACAGGTGCTGCAACAATTCCAGGTGGGAACGAGCCAATCAGACATCTAGTAATAGTACGTGTACACCAGCTAGAGGTTCCCTCAGCCTGACTTTGACCTGTAGCCTCATTTTCAGCTCTACTTGCGGGATACTACAATACTACCTCAGAACCTGAGAGAAACTGGTAGGGGATTAAGGAGAAGAAAGACCAAAGATGGGGTTGGAAGGACCAAGTAGGCTGAAAACCTAAGTGGCCATGATCTTTATTTGTCACACAGTATTATAGTCACACAAGCAGAATATTGGCTTCCCATCCTCAGGAAGCCCAAAAGTTCAGTAACTGCTAAAGATAAATTGTAGACAGCGGTTTTCCTGAGAACACAAACATTTCTATCTATACACAGCATGGTTAGAACAGACAGTCTACTTAGTTGAAAGCACACCAGCCAGCACAGGGTACTACTGAATGCAGAAGGCATGTGACCAGTACCAAGAGTTGGTCCCTGGCCACACTCAGCAGCTGTAGGACCCTGTGTGCAGCTTCAGTAGCTCTATGCCTTTCATTCTCTATGTGACAGAATTTGAACCATCATGTGAAGCATGCTTTAGTTCGTATTCTTTAGTTCCAAGTCATAGAAATCCCTGGGGGACAAGCGGGATGGGGGGTAGGGACGGGAAGGAAGGTGAAGACAGTTTATGGTTCTGTGCAGGTGAATTATAATCATTAAATGATTCTCTCTTTCTCTCGTTCCTTCCCATCCCTCATTGGATTTACTTAAAACATCATTATCTCCTACTGCAAACAAGTTCAGCCACTAATGAAGATCAAGCAGGAGCCTTTCTGCATCTTCTCTAGAACAGGGAGGACCCAGAAGGATTCTCCAAGCTTAGCCTGTACTCTTTTTACTCTTGGTTGATCACCTGTCTAATGGTGTGTTGGATGGGGAGACTTGATTTGTTTCTATTTTTTATCATGGATAGCTCTTTAGATGCAAAACACTTCAACATAGACTCACTATGTAATTGCAGACTGGTTTTCAAATTCTAGGTTTACATGCTTTTCAGTCATGCCCTTGTAAATAAAAAAAGCACATTAAGCCCACAGATGTACAGATGCAAAACAATGACTATAAAAATCAGAAGATATTTGGTTAATTTTTTATGTCTAAAACTTTTCTGGTAACCTGATTTTGGCTGTAAATGCAAGGCCAGGTTATCAGAAAAAAATAAGAGGAGTTATACAATGTAATAAATTTCAATCACCTGACATTTTCTTACAAAGGATTGAGATGGAAAGACCACTTCTGCATCGTGGCCAGCAGGAAAGGAAAAGGAATTAGGATGAGAGAAGACACGATTTTTTTTTCCAGTTCTGGGGCTTGAACTCAGGGCCTGGGTGCTATTGCTGGGCTTTTTTGCTCAAGGCTGGCACTCTACCACTTGAACTACAGATCCACTTTCAGCTTTTTTGGTGGTTAATTGGCAAAGAGTCTCCTGGGCATTCCTTTCCCAAGCTGGCTTTCAACTACCATTCTCCAGATCTCAGCCTCCTGAGTAGTCTTGGTTTTTTAAAAAATATTACAATTAAACTAATTACATTTTAAATTTGTTCACATCCTTAGTCTCCACCTCCCTTTCATCTAAGGTTTTTTTTTTTGGGGGGGGGGTCCGGTCGTGGGGCCTGAACTCTGGGCCTGGGCGCTGTCCTTCAGTTCTTCAGCTCAAGGCTAGCACTCTACCACTTGAGCCACAGCGCCACTTCCGGCTTTTTTCTTTTTGCATATGTGGTGCTCAGGAATTGAACCCAGGGCCTTGTGCATTCCAGGCAAACGCTCTACCACTGAGCCACCTTCCCAGCCTTATCCAAGTTTTGAGGATGTGCAATTAATTTTGTTTTCTACTCTAAATTTTTGGAAGACTTATGGAAAGATTTCTATATGAGAGAAAGAATTTGGAAAACTGTCATTGAATTACTGTGTTGACCAAGATTTTAACAATATTTGTGAAAATGTTAGTTTCTTATTCATAATTTATTGAATACCAATTTGGGGGTAGCTCTACACACAACCTAGGACATGCAGAGGACATTTATACTCGGCCTTTCCTTTTGAGAGTAAGACAGAACCTGAATTAATGAGGGTCTGAGTCCACCCTACTATCTAGCCTGTATGTAAAGCTGGATTATTTCCCTAGACTCTGTTTAGGAATAACATATTTTACCGTGTATATATTTGGACTAGGGAAGACATAATTACACAATCAGTCAAACACTTAATTTTGCATGTTTTCTCCCTGAGTCCTAACTAATGTGTAAAGAGTTATGTAATTCATAGTGGAGAATTAATTGCTGGTTAATTAGAATTGTGGGTACTTTTTGTATGTTTTTTTTGCTTAAATCTCATTTAAAAATAATATTTAAGCACTATATCAATATTATAAATTAATATTGCTTTTATCTATTTTTTGTTGGTTCTGGGCCTTGAACTCAGGGTCTGAATGCTGTCCTTGAGCTTCTTTTGCTCAAGGCTAGTGTTCTACCACTTGAGCCATCGCACCACTTCTGGCTTTTTCTGAGTAGTTTATTGGAGATAAGAGTCTCATGGACTTTCCTGCCTGGGCTGGCTTCCAACCACAGTCCTCAGATCGCAGCCTCCCGAGTAGGCAGGAGCCACTGATGCCCAGCTTTATTATTTTTTTTAAGGGAAGAGACTTTATTTCAAAAAGGACCTAAGAATCATTTCACTTATATCCAACTCAATTTAAGATTTTCAATAGTTAAATAAAAAGTAAAATATCCTTCTCTTACTTGCTTAATTTTTGCTTAGCAAAAATCTACTTTTAGCCTTAAATAATACTCAGACTGGGTAGCCTTTCCTCCACTCTGGATTAATGACTGAACTCTATGTAATAGTAGGAAAACTCACAACCTGTTCTTTTGGCACAACAGAGCTGGGAGTTTTGTTTTGTGTGGCTACATTGAAGAATTTGGAAATTCTCCTGTAACTCTGATCTCTTATCAATAGGAGAAACTGTTTCTAATGACAACAGAACCACATGTCAGTGAAATCACCAACAGAATACTCATTTCTTAACATTTTCATGTGGATCAGAGTGTTTTTATCCATTAGCAATCTTATGTATTGTGTGTGAGTAAACTTAGGCTAAGCAATAAGCTAGAATTAATCTCTTATTTTTCTTTCCAAGAAAAAAGTCGAAGTTGGAAGGTCTTATTTAGCCAGGCAAGGACATTCAACTTAATCATGAATGCATCAGAAGATTATTAAATTTTCCTAGGAGTCTGGCATCTTCAGAAATAACTGGTGAATGAATGATCTGTGTAATGTATGCTATGTGTTAGGCTGGGAATCCTAAACATGGTCTCTCCTCAATAGAGATAGGAAGTCCTGAGAAACGGCTCCAGGGTGACTCAATGGTATTAGAAGTGAGAGTAGAAAGGCAAGATTAGTTGAGACAGCTGTTGCTAAGGAATTGACACTTCACTGAAAAATGATGAACATACTAGAATGCAAACCTCCCGAGAACACAGATCTTGTCTGTCTTTTCTCTCTTTTCTCTGGTCCTCATGCATAGAATTATGCCTAGTTCATATAGGCACTTGGTGAGAGCTACATGAGTTAAGATACAAGCAAGTGAATACAATGGCGTGTAGTAGGTGATGAGACAGAGGCAAAAAACAAGACTTCCTGGAAGAAGAGACATTTACATCTTGTCTGATGTGTTTAGCTAGAATGTTGCAGGAAACCATAAGCAATAAAGACACAAAAGCCAAGAGATGAGCCCAGGCTTTGAAGCATTATTAATAAAATCTTGGGGTGGGGCTGATGACTACAAGTTGCTATTGAAGGGCACTAAACCAGAAAGAAAAGAGTGAAAGGTGGTGCTGAATGAAAGCCTGGGCAGTAGTTTGGACTTATGAAAGATTTTATAATAACTGAGTTAACATGAAAGGGATTTTTACTATAAAACTAGGAATTAGGATTTGGGGGGGGCATGGATCCAGGAGTAGAGTACCTGTGTAGCAAGCACAAAACCTTGAGTTCCTCTGTACCACCCAAAAAAGAAAAGAAAGGAATAGAAATTAGAAATAGATGAAATGGGAGTAGAAAGCTTACTGAGAGTTTCTATATGTTCATCATCAAATAGTTGAGATCCGAGTCAGCTGCAACAATGTGTAAAGAGGTGATGAAGGACTCCATTGAGAAAGTGATAACAGGAAGCAGTAATGGCAAAGCTTTGAGAAAATGTAGGTGTTAGGAAACAAATGACAGATTCAAGGTGTTGAAAGGGCAAAGTAGACAGTGGACTCAAGAATGAATTCCTTGCCAGGGACTGTTGGCTCACTCCTGTAATCCTAGCTACTGGGGGAGGAGGCTGAGATCTGAGGGGCTCTTATCTCCAATTGTAATTGTATCTCTAATTGTAATAATGTGTGTAGAATGTGTTGATTGAACTTAGAACTCTGGGGAATATCATGTTTAAGAATCGAGGTAAACTGGGTGCTGGTAGCTCATGCCAGTAATCTTAGCTATTCAAGAGAGGCTTATAGTGTCTGAGGACTACACCTAGTCTGAACTTTAAGTCAGCCCTGAGGCTTCAGGTAAGTATCCTATTCTTCATCTAGCCCTCCCTTCATCCTTCCACATGGCTAATCGCAACTTCTCCATGTCGTGTGCCACAGTGCCTATGCATGAGACAATCAGAATCCCTACAGTGAAGCAAAGAGCACTCTCCTGGACTGTGTGTTTTTTTGCACTCAGGAATGATCCCTTCCTGCTTCTTGTCCCACTAAATCCAGC